TTATAAATGCTTCATTTTAGATTTAAATAGCATGAATAAAAACCAGACCATTTATTTCATAACTATAAACACGTGATTTTAATTTTATATATCGCATAATTTAAAAATAAACTGTTTATCAGAGTGTGTAAATAAGGGCTGGGGATAGCAAGTGATGGACAGGAGGAGAATAGAGAGGGTGGGGCTTCAAGGAAGGGGTGGGGCGGTAGATCTTCACCTGTTCTGAGATTTAAAAAGTGATCTTGGGTATAAAAAGGTTGGAGACCACTGACCTACTGTGATATTTACTTTCTATATACGTTATCCCTTACGGGTTTTTTTTTTTTAGCTTTTAAAGCCAGAAGGGATCATTAATATCAGGTAGTTCAACCACCTATGTACACAGATCATAGAATTGCACTTAGTAATTACTAGATCAGTCCTGTAACTTCTGGTTAATCTATAGCATATATTTTAGAAAGATATCCAGTTTTTATTTATTTAAAAACTTCAAGTGAGAGAATCCACTGTGCTCGTAGTTATGTTGTTCCATTGATTAGTTATGACTACTAGAATCCTAGAATACTTACTAGAACTGGAAGGGACCTTGAAAGATGATCAAGTCCAGTCCCCTGCCCTCATGGCAGAACCAAACACCATCTGAAATGGTCATCCTCGTTTCTAAGTATTGCAGTTGTGCTAGTCCCAGGGTATTAGAGAGCCAAAGTGGTTGAAATAATATCTTTTATTGACCAACTCCTGTTGTCACAAGAGATAAGGTTTTGAGTTACACAGCCTCTTCTGTGCCAGGGAAAATAATGGAGCAAATAATTAAGGAATCCATCTGCAAACATCTGGAAGATAATAAGGTGATAGGTAACAGCCAGCATGGATTTGTAAAGAACAAATCGTCAGACTAATCTGATAGCTTTCTTTGATAGGATATCAAGCCTTGTGGATAAGGGAGAAGCGGAGGATGTAGTATAACTAGATGTTAGTAAGGTATTTGACATGGTCTTGCATGACCTTCTTATCAATAAACTAGGGAAATGCAACCTAGATGGGGCTACTATAAGATGGGTGCATAACAGGCTGGGCAGCCAGTCTCAGAGTAGTTATCGGTTCACAATCATGCTGGCAGGGCACAACAAGTGGGGTTACACAAGGGTCTGTTTTGGGACCGGTTCTGTTCAATATTTTCATCAACGATATAGATGACAGCATAGAGACTACACTTGTTATGTTTGCAGAGGATACCAAGCTGGGAGAGATTGCAAGTGCTTTGGAGGATAGGGTCAAAATTCAAAATGATCTAGAACAACTAGAGAAATGGTCTGAGGTAAACAGGATGAACTTTAATAAGGAAACATGCAAAGTGCTCCACTTAGGAAGGAACAATCAGTTTCACACATACAGAATGGGAAGTGACTGTCTAGGAAAGAGTACTGTAGAAAGGGATCTAGGGGTCATAGTTAAACATAAATCAGCAGTGTGACACAGTTGGGAAAAAGCAAACGTGATTTTAGGATGCATTAACAGGTGTGTTGTGAGCAAGACACAAGTTATTCTTCTGCTCTACCCTGTGCTGATTAGGTCTCAACTGGAGTATTGTGTCAAGTTCTGGGTGCCACATTTCAAGAAAAATGGAGAAATCAGAGAACGTCCAGAGAAGAGCGACAAAAATGGTGAAAGGTCTAGAAAATATGACCTCTGAGAGAAGACTGAAAGAATTGGGCTTGTTTAGTTTAGAAAAGAGATGACAGAGAGAATATGATAGTGGTTTTCAAGTAGCTAAAAGGGAGGAGGGAGGAAAAATTGTTCTCCTTGGCCTCTGCTGATAGGACAAGAAGCAATGGGCTTACACTGCAGCTAGGGCGGTTTAGTTGAACATTAGGAAAAACTTTCTACCTGTCAGGATGGTTAAACACTGGAATAAATTGCCTAGGGAAGTTGTGGAATCTCCCTCACTGGAGATATTTAAGAGCAGGTTAGACAGACACATGTCAGGGATGATCTAGACAGTGCTTGGTCCTGTTGTGAGGGCAGGAGACTGGGCTCGATGACCTTTTGAGGTCCCTTCCAGTTCTAGGATTCTTCAGGTCTGGGAAACAATTCAATGTGACATGACTAATTTGCACCTCTGCAGTCATAGGACAAAAAAGAGGTTAGTAGGTTACAGGTTATTGTCAAAAGCCATGTCATAGAATCAGAAAATCCTATGGCTGGAAGAGACCTCAGGAGGTCATCGAGTTTAGCCCCCTGCCCAAAGCAGGACCAACCCTAACTAAATCATCCCAGCCCGCGCTTTGTCAAGCCAGGACTTAAAAACCTCTAGGGATGGAAATTCCACCACCTCCATAGGTAGCCCATTCTATAGACTTCCAGATGAGGTAGATGAGGCTTTCTTCAGACAGCTAAGAGAAGCTTCCAGATCACAGGCCCTGGTTCTCACAAGGGACTTAAATCACCTTGATATCTATTGGAAGATCAATACAACGGTAGACAGACAATCCAGGAAGTTTTGGAGAATGTTGGGAACAACTTATTGGTACAAATATGAGGGGCTATGCTCAACTTGTCCTACTACTCACAAACAAGGGAGGAATTAGTAGAGGAAGTAATACTGGTGGAAACCTGGACAGCAGTGATTATGAGATGCTTGAGTTCAGGATCCTGTCCAAAGGATGAAAGGAGAGCAGCAAAATACAGACCCTGGACTTCAGACAAGCACACTTTGAGGGCACCATGCAGGGGACACAAGGTCCCATCCTAGCAGACAGGGGGACCCAGGGGGCCAGGCTCAACAGAGGTGGAACCCTGGACGCAGGCAGTGGGGGAGGGGGCCTGGGGAAGAGGTCCCTATCCCTGCCCCAGCTGCTGAATTCTAGGCCGAGATGTAGGCAGATCCCTCCTTGCAGAAGCTGAGCAACCGATCTGGCCTTGGTGCAGCTCAGTCCCTGGGGGGAGACTGACAGGAAAGGTTCATGTGGGAGAGGGGATCCCCAGGGAAGGCTGAGTCATGGGGGCCCCAGCAGCTGCTGGCTCCCCAAAGGTATCGCCATAGGCTGCTGTACCTGGCTCATGATGTCCCATTCTCGGGATCTAGTGCACCCCGCTGAGGCCGCTGCAGAATTTTTACTGGCCAGGGATCTTTGCAGGTGTGCAGCGGTCCTGCTGGTCTTGTAACTCCAGCCAGAGGCTGGGAAAGCCCTAGAGAGGAAGAAAGCTGCCTTGGGGTCCCAGCCCATCATAGAGGAACCTTTCCAGAGGGTGGCGATGGATCTAGTGGGGCCCCTCAGCAGGGCAACCCAGACAGAGGAGAAATACATCCTGGTAGTGGTGTATTTCACTGCTTGCTACCCCCGAGGCTGTGGCTCTACCCTCTCATGAGGCAGACACGGTGGCAGATGCAGTGCTTGCCATTTTCAGCAGGGTGGGGTTCCCCAAGGAGGTCCCTCGTGGACCAGGGATTCATATCCGCCCTGCTCCGGTGCTTGTGGGAGAAGTACGGGGTCTGGCTCTCCTAGGCCTTGGCATATCACTCCCAATCCATGGGGCCACTGGGGAGGTTCCATGGGACACTAAAGCAGATGCTGAAGACCTTTATGCACCAGCACACGTAGGACTGGAACAAGTACTTGCCCCACCTGCTGTTTGCACACAAAGTGGTGCCCCAGGGGTCTACCAGGTTCCTCCTGTTGGAGCTGTGGTGCGGAAGAGGGAGAGGACCTCTGGGCTTCTGAGGGTATGTCTACACTACAGCGCTAATTCGAACTAACTTACTTCGAATTAGTTAATTCGAACTAAGCTAATTTGAACTAGCACATCTAGAACTAAAAACTAGTTCGAATTAGCATTTTGCTAATTCGAACTAGCGCGTCCACACTGATTGGACGCAGGGGGTGCATTTAAGGGCAGCTGAAACCGGTTCTGGCAGGGCATCAGGTCAGTAGTTGC